ATTATGACATATATGACAGTCTTCTTTTGTGGTCCAACATTCCAATAGATTGAGGAATACATAATTCATTTGTTTTACAATTTTCATACATATATTTATGCACTTTAAAGTAGAGAATCATATGAACAGAGCTTCGAAGCTGAATATCTTTATAGCATCTACCTTGGGATGTAAGAAAAATGGTAACAATAGCACAAGATAACTATTGAAGACAGATACTTGCAGTTGCAAAGAATATAGAATTCCAGAAAAGATGTTAATGATAAAAAGAAATATCAAATTGCATTATTCATTATGTCATAACACACGTAGGAAACTTAGAACAGTTCAAAACACAACCAGCAAAAAGACAACTCAGAGCTTGACAAGTGTAATATAAAAAGCTTAGGAACTTACAGCAACCACAACTGGTATGCATGTAACTTTTGGTTGACCTTGGTATGAGACCAATTGTGCTGCAATGAACAAAGAGGAATTAGAATAAGATAATTGATAGCAAGAAACCAATATATGGTACTCACAGAATGGATTATTGCAAATGATGAAATAATGTTGTTAATAATGCATACAGTGTAACAGGATTTCAATGAAAACAACACAAATATCATTGCAGAATATTTTTGTTCATCGGATAGAAAGCATAAATTCAATTGACTGGAAAGCTATTGTGTGCACTATCTACAATCTAGTAAATGAAATTAAGGAACATCTGGCACTTACGTTCTGTACAGCCAAAAAGGTAGACTTTTTTTCCATATAACTTTCCGCCTTCTTCAAAGGCTTCCTGTTAATAAGCACACACAAATTCAATTCAAGTCATTTATCTTCTCTATATAGTGTCAACTATGCAATTGAAAATTCAAACAATGAATTTCTAGACAACATGACAAACAAAAAATTTATTGCACATTAATCCACTAACCTCCAGATTTGAGAAGTTCCCTTTATACTGATAGACCATGTCCAACTGATCCCACTGAAAAGGGGGAAACACAAAGAACCAAAGACAATGAGTGAAACAAGAAGCATTGTGCAATCTAATACCTGTTGAAGATAAGAAAGTTATCAGAACCAAACCTCAGTACCAACAGGGAAAACTTGTTGCCATAGATCCTCCTGCAAACACGGAATAAAAAAATTTAAGCAAACTAGAGATTCTTCCACAACTGAACCAATTTGTTTCCACTACAATGCTGAACTGCAATTAGCCAAAGCCTTTCTCAGAATATCCAATTATAGCAATACTTTGGTAACTGGTCAATAAAAAATATTTTTTAAAATACCCATGAGATAAAACAGAAATTATATAAAAAGCATCAGCTACTTAATTAAGACAATAAGAAAACAACTTCAGATAACATAATACAAGTCATTTGTTTTATACACAAAGTAAGGCATTTCTAGGAGCAAATGATGCATTTACAGTAATGAATCAGTAATTCATTCTCTTTTCTCTATAATTGGAACCACATAAACTAAATTAGAGGCTAAGTGAGACATTTGATTTTGTATCTAGCAACCTCCTCTCATACAGTTCCAATAAAGATTTCAACAAACTAAATATGCAGCTATACACATCTGCAACAGATGATTAGTACAGAAAAATCAAGCGTCCTCACCAAAGCACCAGATAAAATAAATAAAAAATAAAATAAATAAATAACAACTTGAAATCCAAATCAATCACCCAATGTAATTCAAAATAACCCTACACTATGGAAACTGGAGGAAAACGCAAGTAGAGAAAACGAAATATGCATACCAAATTGCGCTTCTCGGGGAAGTACTCGGTTTCAGTGTCCTGTTTGGAAGTCCTTGCTCGTTTAGCTCGAGGCTTGGTAGGTTTTTTGCTGGGCTCGCCCTCAGCCAAAGACTTGCTAGGCTCTTCCTTGTCATTGTCCTCCTGAGCAGCAGATTGGCTCTGCTCCTCCGCCGACTGGCTAGGCTCCGGCTCCGGTTCGTTTTCCTTCTCTTCCGCGGATTTGCTCTGCTGCTTCCTCTTCGTGGTCTTCTTCTCCTTCGCCTCCGCAGGAGCTTTGTCCTTCTGGCTCCCCTTTCTCTTTGCAGGTCTCTTCATTGTCGACATAGAGAGAGAAAGTGTGTGTGTCTGTATCCGAGTGTAGATATAGAGAGAGAGAAGAGAAGAGATGAGATTGAAGGGTTGTAGACTTGTAGAAGAGAGGGGGCGAATTTGAATTGGAAATGGTTAAAATGAGATGGTGGAAACCGGAAAGTGGAAGAATCTAGCGAGGCGGAAAGGGTATATATTTGGAGGGGCTAGCGTTATTTAGAAGCGATTGCCATTTGCCTGAATACCAATCGTTATGCTATGGATCCGTGTTACAGTATACATTGTGGACACAGAACGGTATCGTTATTTTTCACTATTTTTTATTTTTTAATTTCAGACGTTTCGTTATAGAAACATATGTTCATAATTTTATCACTATATGTTATAATTGTAAGTTCATAATGTTAGAACTCTGTGTTCATAATTCCATAATTGTACATTCATAATTTCGTAACTGTACATTCATAATTTCGTAACTGTACATTCATAATTTCGTAATTGTACATTCATAATTAAATAACTGTAAATTCATAATTTTCGAAGCTCTATGTTCATAATTTTATCACTATATGTTCATAATTGTAAGCTCATAATGTCAGAGCTCTGTGTTCATAATTCCATAACTGTACATTCATAATTCCATAACTGTACATTCATAATTCTGTAACTGTACATTCATAATTCTGTAACTGTACATTCATAATTTCCGAAGCTCTATGTTCATAATTTTATTACTATATGTTCATAATTGTAATTTCATAATATCAGAACTTTGTGTTCATAATTCCATAACTGTACGTTCATAATTTCATAACTATACATTCATAATTCCACAAACGAATAACGTCATTAACACCTTAACGGTGAGACAAAATCATTTTTTTTTTTAATTAGAAGGCTGTCGTTTTCCCTGAAAACGACGTCATTTTAGACTCGTGTCGACAATGCATAGTGGACACGAGTCTACAGCATAATTTGCCGAGCAATTTATATCCTGCACCACCGCGCGCGTTGCATTGTGCGTCCAGATGCAAAATGACGTCGTTTCAATTTTTATTTTATTTTTTTTGAAATTTTGCTACCCAGTGTTTGGCAGTTAATTTTCTTTAAAAAAAAATCTCATGTTCAAAAATGTACATAATGTTATACTAGAATACACATAATTGTATACATGAATGTACATAATTATATAACAAAATACACATACTCTTTTTTAAAAGATAATACACATAATCTAACATAATACATAATAAACATAAACTTTTAATATAATACACATCAACTCTTAACATAATACACAAAATTTTCATGGTTCGGATGTACATAATTGTATAAAAAAATGTACATTATAAAAAATATACATAATTGTATAACCAAATATACATAATCATGTCAACTTCCTATCGCGCCTCTCAAAACAACGTCGTTTTTTGTTGTGTGTTATTGTGTGTTTTTTGGTTGTTGGAAGTATCATATGTCCCTGTCTGAGCGTTTTTGTTGAAGAAAGGTGGGTTGTAATCAAACAATGTCTTTTACTTACTATAAATTGCTGCCAGTGCTGGCCTTTTTTGTTATGTTTATGTTATCTTATCTGTAGTTGAGTTGTTTTGCCAAATAATAGCCAAAGGGAGAGTTTGTTAGTGTTTTATTAAGAAAAACCCCAACATATAATTGGCAATATTATTATGGCAAATTAAGATAGGGTTTAGCTTGGTATCTGACCGTCCTTAAAGAAGACTGATTGATCAGTTAAGTCAACAGACGCATCTCTGGATCAAGCCACAGAAAATTTTATAAAAACTGACTGATGCAGTTATTAGATGATTGTTTTGGAAAGAATATCAGCGAATCATCTTTTGAGGTATGGACCGAATCTCCTTGAAGAATCAATATCTTTTCTTTCACAAAGTCCTACATTTTACAACCAGAGTTATATTCGGAGAGTGTCCAAATAAAGAAGTATATATACACATATACTTTCAGAAGTTAGGGTTGCATTGATTGAAGCCGCAACACTATATACTAAAAAGATACACATCTTTGGTTTTTATGCATCTTCTCAAGACAATGAGTTCATGTTGATTACGAAGATGAACTTGAGAAGAATCAACACTGCTTAAACAATGGATGCGATGATCACTCAGTTGTGGGATCAACGTGGGACTGCGTCATTGAAGCGGACTGCATCAGAGTTAGCTCTACATTGAAGGGATTTCAATTGGACTTCTGAATGCGTGGCTCTCCGACTTCAACAATCCACTAAACATATGTGTTGATTTACTTTCTGCTTTAGTCTTCCGCATTACGCTATATCTGTTTATCTATCTGAATGACTGTCTGAACGACAGAACAAGCAGCAAGGGATTTAGATTTACTTTTTATTTATTTATTTATTTTTATTATTATTATATTTTTCAAAAAAATCAAACGGCATTCAGTTCAGTTCAATTTTTTATCGAACAATTCGAGTCGGTTTTTACCAAAAATTCAATACCGTTCGTATACAAGAATCCAATACCGTTTGGTTGTTCGGTTCAGTTCGATTCGAGACTACTAAACCGAATTGCTCACCCTTAAAGTTAATTACCAAAATGGTCCTTTGACTATAATCAAATTACTAATTTGATCCCAAGTTAACGGTTGACTAACAGTCAAACAAATAGAGAACCAAATTAGTTGAAATTTTTAAAATTGAGAGACTCATTGGTTAAAAAAAATAGTTAAGGACCAAATTGGTAATTTTACTATAGTCAAGGAACCATTTTGATAATTAACTTTTTTTTATTTAATGGTCTAATTGGACGAACTATACAAATTCAATAGTCTATTTAGCGTTTTTGTCCTTCATGATCTGGCTGCAAGCCTTCACAAGCTTTTTTATCTCCCAATATGAAATATCAGCAAATTAGGTGAGTTGAAATCCCCAATGTCTCACATAGGAATAGATTATTAGTATATAAACTGAGAGATTACAGAACTCAGATTACACTACTGTCACATTGTACAACAAGCACCAAATATCAAACTGGAACCTTAAAGCTAAGAAGACCCTTTCCTTAATTTACAAAATGACAGCTTATACTTCTCTATACACAACTAATTTATCACGCCCTGAATTGGATCATAGTAAACTATTCACTGAACCTGCCTAACTACATATGAGGTAACTCTGTTTGATCTTATGCTTCTTCCCAATTCTTTTACAAAGGTCCGGTCACCGTCCTCCTCAAGCATCTCGACTTGCCTCCCCATGGCATATTCACTTTCTCGTTCTGCAAACAAGTACAACATGAAGCACGATGATCAAGAATAAATCCCGGGAGTGAGATTCATTGTGAAGTTTAGACAACCAAGCATAAATCCCGGGAGTGAGATTCATTGTTCAACAAATTATGCCAACCCTGATTGGGATGGGAGTACGGGACTTGAATCTGAGACCTTCCTTATGAAAAGCAATATTGTAATACCATTATATGCTCAAATGTAGCAACTACTAAGTACTAAACAAAATATAGATTTTTGCATCATGAAACTATGAACAACATTCAACAGGCAGGCAAAGTCGTTTTTACCTCATTCTTTTGCATCTCCATGAGTTCGGTCTGCAACAACACAGAACACAAACAATCACAATCATAGTTTTCTAGTATAATTTTGTCAACACAACAACGTTTCGCTCAGATGGTGAAGTTACCTGTTTTTTCCTCAGTTCTTGGTTTGCTTCCTTTAGTTTTGCTACTTCCGCTTCCAATTCTAAAGTATAGGCCTGCCATATTCATGCAACGGGAAAATCCAAACCACGTGTTATTATTCATCAACTTCAGAATCACCAATCTATCATTAGAAGCCACAATATGTGTGGTGTTCGTTTTATAAATCACCTGCTTCCGGGCTCGTGATCTTGCAGCAGATTCTCGATTTTTAATCATTCTCCTTCGCCTCCGTTCCACTACTTTCTCTAAAGAGCCACATGCTTTCCTCCCCCTTCCACCTTCATTGAACGCAAAAGGTGAAGGGGACAGCGAAGATGTATCCAAATTGCTCTTAGTAACAATATCTGAAGACAATGGATTCCTAGGCGATCCGCCTATTGCTGTCGTTGCCCCATTGCATAAACCCGCCATCCTCATTGCCCCGCCCTGCATAACAGAACCCTGAGCAAGACTAGTGTTAAGAGGACTCGACATTCCAACGATAGGGCCCCCTCCCACCCTCGGGCTAGCCAGCTGAGCGGTGTTCCCTAATTGCATAGGGGAGGCGAAAGCCACAGTTGTTTGTTTAGAAAACAGCGGTAGCTGAAGCTGGGACGATTGGGTACCACCTGCATTCATCATTAAGTTAGATGGACCAGGAATTGCAGCGTTTTTACCATTTTCTGCAATTTGTTTGCTCAAACCGCCCCCCGGGTTTTGAGCTGGCTGTTGAAAGGCTATACTATTCAGTTGACTCAAACCACCGGATAATCCAACACCATTGGGTTGAACTTGAATGTCCTCTCTCACAACCCCCGCTCTCGCCAGAAACTCTTCCAGTGTCATTTCTCCCAGCGTAGATTGTCTCTGCCCAAAGTTTGACACCCCGCCACCGTTTTCATCGTTCTTGGAGACCCCCGTCTCTTTGTGGAAATCTCTCCACACTTCATCAACCGTTTTCTGGCTAAGCGTCCGAGGCAATGTCAAAGAGCCTTGTCTCTGCAAGTTCCCACCGGGGGGGATACTTGCATCCGCTGCACTAGCAGAAGATGCTATGGCTTGAGACTCCTCAGCTGTCCAAATATTCTTCAAGAGATCCTCCATGTTCATAGACCCCAAATCCTTCCCAAGTCCCCCATATGTCTGGAGCTCATCAAAGGTCAAAGAGTATATCGAAGATTGTCTAGTCAATGGGAAAGGACTGGCTGGCTTGTCTCCATTGCCCTCTGGCAGTGGCATCTCCCCAAAGTTCTTGAAGTTCATATAAGACCCCATAACTGGGAAACTTGAAACTGATCATATGAATGATAAATAAGCAGTAAGTATCAATTAAATATGATTAGAATTCAAGCAGTGAAATAACAGTTTTCTCTTCCTCCTTTCCTGGTAAATGTGAGGAGAATGAGATTGCAATTTAGACTCACAGACAAAGGGCATTTTCTCATCCTCTTTGCTTAACTTTTCACCACACTCCCAACACAAATGTTTCACCATAAAAAGCAAGAAAACATCAATAATTCAACCAACAAATCTAAAGGCATCAACATTGTCTATACATAAATTTAAAGTGTCCTGCCAAGTTCTACTCACTAAAAAACACAAATCTTATGCAATTAAATGACAATACATCTGATTATAGACAGAATTTAAATGCATGGTTTTTAAACCCCAAGTCAGTAGAATTGCCATCACTCTTTCAAAAAAAAATGTTATCTTCTTTAAAAAGAATAAAATATATATATCTCTCTTTGAAAAAGATAGCTGCAAGATCAGATTTTGACTTCACTAACTTCACTGCTCCAATACACTTTCCCTTGCATTCAGATCCCAGATCAATCAGATCAGATTATCAGAAAGCTCAAGTCATAAGAAAATTGCACTATAAGCTTCAATACAAAGCAAAACCATTCATTCATTCTTAAAGAATCCGCCAACTCTCTAAAACAACACAATCATTACATGCATCAGAACAAATCCAAACTAAGAAAATCCCATCATGTCTTCTTTTTTTTTTTCAATTTCTTGAGCTGATTAACAAGAACAGTGTCCAATTGTCCATTCCATATGATCAAGATTTGGGCTTTTGTCTTATCCCAAGAAGAAAATGAAACAAAACCCGGAGAGAAAGCAAGGAAAACAGCAGCCCCGCAGAAATTAAAGAAGAGGGAACAAAAATTATATATTACCCTTTTAACAGAAAGCCAGACAGGCGGAGTTGGGGAAGCGTGTCGTTGGCTTCTTCTTCCTCGCCGGTTGAAGCTTGGTGGAGGCGACAAGTGTCTGTTGCCCCTTCATAGACACGAGTCCCCCCACGCTTAAATCTCCAAAAAGTCACTCCGATTTTACCAAAAATTATTTTAATGTTTCTGATCAGTTACGTGCCCTCTGTATCTTCCGCAACGTGGACCAGCTGCGAGGATGCTGTAGCCTCGAAGGAGACGTCCGGCCAATGGGAGAGTGCTAAGTGGGAGATTTTCCACCGCTGATTTAGACTTTCCGACATGTCCATTAATGATAGATTGTGTTAATCTTTACCTCTTTATTCGTTGGCTTTAGGGTAGAATGGTAGATCCTAGATAGAGGGATTATTCATTACAAGATATTTTTACCTTTCTCTTTTTGGCATCTCTAACTCCACATTTAATTAAAAATTTAAAGTTATTAAATTAACATAATTGTATAAGTACTTTCTCACATAGTATAAAATATATTATATTAATTAAGTAATTGTCGTGTAAGTGAATGATTAAGTTAATAAGTAATTTAGTCCGATAATGATTTAGTTATTCAGTTTGACTTTAGCTGAATATCTGCCTATAATGATGATAAGTAAATTTTTAAGCAAAACGGTCATCTCACAGCCCCTATAATCAAAATACACTACAACATATAATCAATGATGGCGGTTCCGTGATAGGGCTCGTATTGCTTGCCAATTAAGCCATTAGTAGATCGGGTATCCCCCTCCCCAACCTCCCAAAAAAAATAAAGATGGCGGTTCCGGTTCCTTAATTACGAAAACCTTAACCGTTAGGAATTAGATCGGAACCGGAACCGTACGGACCACGAACGGTTCCGATTCCAGTTCGATTAGCACAGTTTCGGTTACGGTTTGAACTAGAGGTTCGAACCGAACCGTGGTCATCCCTAGATAGAGCATGATTTTCGTACATAAATGTCACGAGTTTCATTATTGTTAACACTCTCTCAATCAAACTCGTCACACAAAGTTCTCCTACTATGATTTGCGTCTTATTACACAAGAACGAAGTTTACCAATATCTACTCTCAGGTGATGTCTTGAAAATCGATTACTCTTAATTTTGTAATATGTAACTACTAATCAATACATGTCGTAGCATTTTTTAGTAATTAATTACATATAAATATAAATTATATAACTCTAATTAACAAATTAATCTAAAAACTGATTAAAACTTTTTATATAAATAACATTATCTTTTTAAGATATGCAATCTTTTTTAGTAATAAAATGTCCTAGGAGTTGTGAAAAGTTCAAAAGCGTGGGTGCAAAGCACTATAACAAAACAAAAAAAATATTTGCACCAATCCTAATTCCTAATGAACTTATTTAATGAGTTAATAAAAGTAACAATTATAATGCATCTAAATGATCTAACACTCTCAAGTCTCAATTTTCTTTTTGGCCCGTGCCAACAGCTTAGACATCTCCATCTATGAATTTCTGAATGGTTTTGAGAAAGCAAGGATGATGCGGAGGAAAGAGGGTGAGGAGAAAGAAGAAATGAGGTTTTTACATTATGAATGGTTTTTGGTCTGAATATTTGGGGCCCGCGTGGAGAAGAAGGGGCATTTGAGTTGCGTTCAGCGCAACTTGTGCGGTGCCAGCGAGCGCATAATTTTTTATATTTGGTTTGTTGGCAAATTTGTTTTTTCCTCTTCCCTCTCTTCTCTTTTTTAATCACAATTGAAAAAACTTCTCAAAAATCACAACTGTTAGAGATACTCGACATCATACATCACTCTGTTAGCTCAATTATTTATTTCAATTATTTGTTAGCTCAATTATTTCTCTATTTTACCTCCATTTATCTCCTTTTCTTTTCCTTTCTTTCTATAGTTTATCTTTTTGGAAAATAAAAATCATTGGATTGTGGCCTTGTGGGCAGACCTATCATCTGATAATTTACCATTTGAAAAAAAAAATAAAAATTAAAAAGAAGAAGTTAGAACACCATGGAACACAAATTTACTTAATTAGTAGGGGCAAGAGTGAAACTTCAGATATTTTGTGAGATTTCCTTAATAGTTGCCTATGGCCTAGGCCTGAGGGACCATCGTAGTTGTTTTATTCATATTTGTCGTGACTTGTAACTTTATTCATTATATATATTATATATATATAAAATATATTTGCATCTCGGTAAAAAGGTACTCCGTAATTAAAAATTGACGAATTTTTAAGTTTATTTGATATTTAATTTAATGTTGTGATAACATATAGTATACACAAAAAATTGTATATTATTTTAAGTGAAAATTACACTTTTATCTCTAAGTTATAAAATAATCGTAGAATACATCCCTAGTGTTGATTATGTTCATTTTTCGTTTCTAAATTATCATTGGTGTTGCACATTTCGTACTTGAGTTATAAGGTAATTGTATGATTCGTCCCTAAGTGTTGGTCATGTTCACTTTTCGTCCCTAAGTTATCATTCACGTTGCACTTTTCGTCCCTGAGTTATACTAAAATTACAAATTTCGCCCCTAATCACTACTGTACTACATAAATGGCATACTACGTCACTTAATAGACGACAGTGTTTTAAATAACTACCGTCTAATATATTGTGTTATACTACGTCACTTAATAGATAGCGGTTGTTTAAATAACTGTCGTATATAGTTGACAGACACGACGGTTGTTTAACCACCGTATATAGTTAACATACACAGCGGTTTGGTTTTGAAAACTGCCGTAGAAATTGTATATTTACAACGACAGTCACTTACACGCGCGACACTTCGAAAACCGCCGTGTATGTGTAAAAAAAAAAAATCGTTGGTGGTTATTTAAAGTGTATGACATACAAAAATTAATAAGGTATATAGGTCGGTTATTTAAAAAACCGTTGTCTATTAAGTGACGTAGTATAACAAAATATTTTAGACGGTGGTTATTTAACAAACCTCCGTCTATTAAGTGACGTAGTAAATCATTTATGTATTAGTGATTAGGGACGGAATTTAATTTGCAATTATAGTATAACTCAGGGACGAAAAGTGCAACGCCAATACTAACTTAAGGACGGAAAGTGAGCATGAACAACACTCAGGGACGAATTCTACAATTATTCTATAACTCGTGGACGAAAAGTGCAACGCCAATGATAACTTAGGGACGAAAGTGAGCATGATCAACATACAGGGACGAATTCTACAATTACCCTATAACTTAGGGACGAAAAGTACAATTTTCTCTTATTTTAATTTATGAGAAAATTTGATCTAGCTATTTGAAAGTATGCTGTGGACATATTCGTTGTAATCCTAGTCAGCAAATGACCTCAAATAGGTAAATAAGTTTAGGTTGTCTATGAGAGAAGTTTAGATTGTCCATAATTAATCATTTCAAATCAATAATTTGAGTTAATACCCAAAATCGTCCTCGACTATAGTGGTTTTTCTCAATTTCGTCCTAAACGACTTTGGTGACCTAATATCGTCCCAGACTTTTGTGTTTCGCTCAATTTAGTCACAGACTTTTGTGTTTTTGCTCAATTTAGTCCCTCATTTGTTATTCTGTCCATTTGGTGTTAAATAAATAGACAATTCAGTAATTTTAATATTGGCATCTCTTTACTCATAGACATGTGAACTGCGAAATCCCTTTTTTTTTTACGAATTACTCCCAGAATTACTCTTAAAACTGCGAATATAAAATTTCATTTGCAGGTCCGGGAGTAATTCTGGGTGTAATTCGTACAAGAAAGAGGAATTTCGCACTTCACAAGTTGAAAGTAAAGAGAGATCAATATTGACATTATTGAATTGTCCCTTTATTTAACACCAATTTGACGGAATAATAAATGGGGGACTAAATTGAGCGAAACACAAAAGTCTGGGACGATATTAGGTCACCAAAGTCGTTTAGGACGAAATTGAGAAAAACCACTATAGTCGAGGACGATTTTGGGTATTAACTCTCAATAATGTCAATAGACAATTCGCACAAAATTTACATTACTTTATATTACAATAATTCGTTTTAAAATTTTGAAAATAGAATTTTATTTTATTGTATTCAGTGAGTTGTAAAAAAAAAAAGTCACGTTATTTTATTCTTTTTTTTTTTATTAAAAAAATATTATAACAAAACGTATTTATAAAAGTTTCCTATAATTTATTGACAATGTGTGAGATTATACACTATCATTACATTACTATTTGTTAATATTTGTACTGCATTGTTCACTTTGGGCTTCAAATTTTGGATGTTTGTTTTTTAATCTCAATTAAATTTGTAATTTAAATAATTTATAGTTCTTTAATGGGAAAATGACACTTTTTCCCCCTGAGTTATATACCTATAGCATTTTTTACCCCTAAATTATTGAAGTGGCTGTTTTCCCCCCTGAAATGTTAAATGGACATATTTACCCTTCAACTAAATATTTAATTTATTTTTTTTCTCCAACAAATTATGACCATAATTTGGTTCGAACCAAACAAACACTATAGCAACCAAACCGAAATATTCTAATTACAATTTAGAATCGAAATCCGATATTTAGAGTTTATTAAAATCGTGAACCAGAACAGACGGTTCATGTTCCGAACTGAAAAAATAAAATACATATATTGTTGAATTTATACTATTTTAAAATAAAAAATAAAATTTTAAAATAAAGACGGTTCAAAATCACGAATCGGATCTAGAATCGCCGGTTCACGGTTCAAGATTCAATTTTTTTTTGATACATAATTTTAATAAATTGACATTTAAATATTGGATTCTAGATCTGAATTATAACCGAAAACTATTAATTCGATTGCTATAGTATCCGGTTCAATTCAAACCGAACCGTGGTCATCCCTACGTATACGCAATAATTTGTTGGAGAAGTAAAATAAATAAAATATTTACTTTAAGGGTATAAATGTCAATTGAA